CTCTCTCTATCTCGCTCGCTCTCTCGAAGTGACAGTTACTGTCAGAAGAATGGCATTGTATTTATCGATTGAAATTAGAGATCGTTTTATAAAATTCAAAAATAAGATCATAAAAATGGTGACAAAAATAGCCATCAATTTTCAATACCAATCATCTGAATAACAGCTCTTCAGGTGAGAGAAAACACACACAAAACCCACGAAACAAAACCACCAAAAATAGTCACAAAATCAGTTTAAAAGCATAGAAAACAAGACACACGGCTACCGCACGGGTAGGGAGGGGTTGACAGGGGCTCTGAAAGGGGTTTTAGAGGAGATGGACATGAGGGGTAGGGGTGGCGGTGGGAGTGTGTGGGGTGTGGCACTTGCCTCGATCGTGGTCGTCGCGAAAATCATCGTGTATTCTGTTAGACATCCGCATAAAGTAATCGAAATCGTAGTAATGGTTGGGCGACGGACTCCGCGGCCGCAACAGAGGCGACGCGTGACCGCCACCAGCGGTCAGCGGCGGTGGCGGACCCGTTGGCGTCCGGGGCCGGGCCTGTTGTCGCGGCGACGACGAGCTACGGCGCCAGTGGTCGGCAGTGTTAGTGTTGCCGCCGTTGCGACTGTCGCTACGGCTGTTGCGGCCGTTGTTGTTGTTGGTGTCGGGCGGCGATCGTCCGCCGCTGCCGTCCCTTTGCTGGCCATCCCTTCCGCCGCCGCTTCTTGTGGTGGACGACGAACTCGAGGGCCGTTTCTTCTGATTGCTGGACCAATTCATTCTCGGCTTCAGTTATTATAGGCAATAATGATCAGGCAATTAGTGTATAGTGTACTCAGCAATTGTGTACTTTATTTAAAAGTGGTTTTTCACATATAATTTATAATTATATTATAAAATGCCGTTAAATATGATCGCAAATCATATGAAAAATTAAATGATTTTTCTCCCGAAGTGTTATATAGTGTACGGCGTTTTGAACGCGCGGTTTATTATCACATGGACTTCACTATACAGTGGTGTACACTATATGTGTGCGGAAATAGTGTGTCTGTACTGTATATATATTGAGCTCTGGGTAATAATAGAGTGACCAAGGTACTAATAATTGAGTATATAGTGAGTATTATTTATGTGCTATTTATTAACGGTATTATTAACATTACTAATAATTAATAATCATTTAATTAAAATGATGGTAAAAAATAGTAATATTTATTTTTCATATGATAAGTGTAGGCAAAATGAATGGCACTTTTTGTGTGTGTATATAATTAAAATAGCATTATGATAAAAAATATATAATCAATTCAAATAGCATTAATAATAATATTAGTGTTGTTTCAATGGATAAATATAAATACCATTTTAGAAATTGTTTCGTTAATTAAAAACACAAACTTATAATTGAGTGTCGAATCACAGGTCAATTGACAAAACACTTCAATATGAACTAGGATGTAAAGCCGGCGGCCATTACACTGTTAACTGTAATTTAATTAAATTTATTAACTACTATTAACTATGAAATTAAATGATTCAATAATTACAACTAGTTATAAATGCATTACATTTTACAACACATAAATCTGTTGTGAATAAGAGTTGAAAAATAACTGTTAAACTGCGATAAGAGAGGCATAAAAACACAACACAAGTGAAATGCAATGCGCGATAACAACACAACACAAGTTACACAACATATTGTAATTTCACTTTCACTTGCATTAACCTTAAGCGCACTTTTGGTGCCATTATATGCGTTGAAACACTATATGTATGGTTAATATAAATGGTACCAAATGTCTGTATTGACATACGTTGTCTATGTATGGCCCCATATTGCACAATCCACCAATATGTAACTGTACAGCGCAGAGCTGTACTGTTTTAAAGGCACCTGTAGTGCTGTATTGTACAGGTATATTATAGTTGTATTTTGATACCAGGTATTTTTAGTGTGCTGTTTAAAATATTGTCAAGCACAATATGCAAAATGAGTAGTGTATGTGTGTCAGTTAGCTATATGTTTTTTGATAGAGTAGCAAGGTTAGTTTGTATCGATTTTTTAGTTACATTACTAATGTAGATTTGCCTTATTCTGTCAGTAGTTCTTTTTAAACTTATCCAGTTACAATGTACTTTACAGTACAATGTAAAACACATGTGTGACATCTGTTGTGCCGCAGAGTACATATGTGTGGTTGTATTGGTGCAGAATATACTACAGAATATTCTGTACGCTTTATTGTCGTACAGAATATTCTTTGTGTGTCTGGTATTGCATATAATGGTTGGGAAAGTAGTGATCGGTTTTTTCACAGCCGTTACTCGAGTGGTGGTGAGAGGGGCCAAAAGTAGTGCCACTCGTGAGGCACACATGCATTTCAACCATGTTTGATGAGACATTCAATTGAGTTCGAGTACCATATACTTAACGATACTTAACAAGTACAGTTTTTGTTGCTGTATGCTGCTACTGGCTATTTTTGTATTAATATGCTGTTTAATAAGCTATCCCATATGTAATGAATGGTATAAACATTTATATCATGTGTGGTTTGAATGTTTCATTATTAATGCATTTATATTAATGTGTTGCCACTTATTGATAACCCATTGTAAGCCTTTTTGTCACCATTTTTATGATCTTATTTTTGAATTTTATAAAACGATCTCTAATTTCAATCGATAAATACAATGCCATTCTTCTGACAGTAACTGTCACTTCGAGAGAGAGAGAGAGAGAGAGAGAGTAGCGGTTAAGTGAAGAATAGCAAATGTAGGCCAATATTATTCATATTATTATTATTATTACTTTTAACGACTTATGCTGTTTTAACCCTTATACGGTTTTAGGGTTTAGTTCATACAAATGCTAAGTTCACACAACTGCTTGTTCATCCAGTTGATAAAACACTGTAGTTACATATAGTAGTTGTTCGATTCTGACCTCTATTACCACTCTGTGTTTGCATTGCTTTCACTTTGACTTGCATTCAATGAAGGGTTACTTTCACTCAAATCTAATGTATTCGGTATCTGTTGCAACCCATCCATTGATTCTTCATTTGATAACTCAATTATTTTAGACATTGTGTCACAAATACCTGACACTCATTCACATGAAACAAAACGCATACCAATTGATAGGAAAGCATATAATTCACAAAAAATCTTTTAGTCAAACTTTACAGCTTGATATTATGTGAGTTTGAGGGCAACTATATGTGAATTTTGATAAATGCCTAAATAATAGCAAAACTGGGGGCAACTCTATCCGGATATAATTGCACCCCGACTTAGAGATCTAGATATAATTGCACTGCAACTATATGCGGCGAAAGTCGTTAATATAATATAATTGCTTTAAGAATATAAGGCAAGTGCTGACAAGTCTCTCTCTCCTAACTTATTATTTCATTCATTATGGTATTTATAATAATAATAATATTCTTGGCTTTCATTATATTAATGTTATGGAAATATAATGAAAATATGTGTCAAAATGATCGGTCGATATATCGGTAGCGGTAGTGGTGTTTGAAAAGACTCGCAAATGAAGACAATATATTGTAATATTAAGTTTTTTCTGCATATATTTTCTTAACTATTTATGCGATATTTTTATTGATGTGTTTTTCGTTATAAAACTAATCATAAATTATTATTATTATTATATTTTCTTTCATTTAACAAACCTGTACTGTACTGTCTCTATATGTGACACAGAATATTATTACCAGTAGTGGTGAGAATATATGACAGAATATTCTGTGATTATAGTTGAGTAAAACAGTGGTATCGATAGGCTTTAGGTTAGGCATTGAATTTCAGTGTTAACTATAGTTTTGACGCTAATTGTCGTTGAATTATAACCTTATTGTTTCATTAATTTCTTAATGCCTCAGAGAGAGAGAGAGAGAGAGTCGATTAGTTGGTAAAATATTCACACCAATCGATAACAACACTCCTAAGAATATTCATAAAATATATGTATATTAATAGCTATTTTGAATGACACACACGCTATTAAATTACCTGAATGTTGACTTTGAAAACTAATTAATATTGGTTGAAACGGGTGGCACCAGGGGAGGGGGCAAAGCAGTGGGTCTGTGGGATTGCCAGGGAATTAATTGGCGAATATACGGCTTAAACTAGTTATATCACGAAAAAGCATAAATGTCATAAAATCATATTTGCACATTTTATTGCCACACAATTCATATGACAGCGTATTTCTCTCGCGTGTATTATTAAAACCGGAATATATTTGAAAGTTTTAATTAATTGTGTATTTTATTAGCAATTTTATTGGCGCCGACATTGAAAATTGAGTTTTTATATAGCATTTAAATAAAAGCTATTAAAATGATTATTATTTTGATATCTTTCCTGAAAGTTTTAAATCGCGAAAAATTATATTTAATTAAATAATATTATTATTATTACAAATTTGAAAAACACATGAAAGTTATTTTGCTTTAATATTAGAGGAAAAACTAAACGTTTAATTAAAAGGATATATAAAACACATGATGTGTTATTTCATTGCCGTCTAATTTATCGCTAATTCATACAATTATTATTGCTATTGATATTAAAACTGAATACAAAAATATGGTAATTAATTAGAAAAATAACAAATTAAGTGTTAAAATATTTATTTGGTATTCAAATGAATGCAAACTATTATCAGAGGAAATAACAGACATATCAGGGATTAAATTAAAACTACTAATTAATGGCAAAAATTAAGGCATATATTAAAACACATGAGTCTTCGCACATATAAAACGGTATAACAAAAAAAAAGTGGACAAAAAGATTACATCCAATTGTATAACAAAATTAATTGCAAACTTTATTAACCAATCGATTGATAACTAATCACTAATTTTCTACCACTTGTTAACCGCAGAACTGTTCAGCGAAAGCATCTGTAATAGCATTTCTGGTCAAGAGGTGATACTATCGCAACACAAACACTCGTCGCTGTGTATACAATGGCTGATCGAAAACACTGGCAATCAGGAGCTGATCCGCAAACTGGCCGAACGGATCTGCGTTACCACCATATCGTTGGACTATATGATGAATCAGAGCAGTAGTTGTGTACTGCAGGCGCTGATTGAGGCCACGCTCAAGATATTGTCCAAAGAGACGTCGAACGCGACCGCCGGCGGCAGCGAAGCCGAGCGGCACATTCGTTGGACTATATGATGAATCAGAGCAGTAGTTGTGTACTGCAGGCGCTGATTGAGGCCACGCTCAAGATATTGTCCAAAGAGACGTCGAACGCGACCGCCGGCGGCAGCGAAGCCGAGCGGCACATAAAGTGGAGCACTCATTGGCTGCACGACATCGGAAAGTTCACTGTCCAACAGATGGATCAACTGTTGGAGGACACGAACGGCTCGCACGTGATGATCACGGCGTTGGAAGCGATGGGCGGCATACGGGTGGGCCGCCACTGGTCGCGCAAGACTATGGGCTTCGGCATGAAGACCAACATTCACACGGAGATCGAGAAGGACGTGATCATCCGTGAGCTGCCGGCGCCGTTCAAACACTTGCTCAAGAGGTTCGCCAAAGCGCTGGTGATGGACCGCCAACAGCGTGAGCTCAAAGAGATCATTCTGGGCAAAGCCACCTCATTGGTCCAGTACCTGCTCTTTGTGTTGAAAGTCCGGTACAACGAGTTGTGTCAAGTGGTGGTCAAAAAGTTGGTGGAGATTGTCTTCATGGACGACGAGAGCAAATTCGCGATCACCACGAGTTCGGTGAGCGCTTATCTCGTGGAAGCGGTGATTCTGGTGGCCAGCGATCACCGGCTGCACCGCATATGGAGTAAACACCTGAAGGGCAATCTGAAGCTGATGTGGAAGCACGACATCGCCAACTTCATTGTCCAGCGGCTTATCGACGCCGCACAGCAGCAGACATTAGTAAGAGACCATTATCTCAGCCATCGTTATCACTACCACTACTATTACTACTACTTGTTTCAGTACTTCCAGTACTACCGCTACCACTACTACTTGTCATTGTTGTTATTATTGCCTATTATTGTTGATATTATGATCACGATTACCATCACTGCCATCACTATTGAGTATTTATTGAGCCACTTGTCTATTGTTCGTTCACTACTACACACTCACCACCAATTGATCCAATTATTATTATTAATGTCATATTATTGTTATCTTATTATTGAATTTAATGCCAGTATTTGCATAGAGAGTGAGAGAGAAAGTCTATTAATTGTTGTGTTGTTGTCTTCGCACAGTCACACAATCACGTCCACCAAATCCAATGTCCAATCACTTTGTTGTCCAAATCAATTGATTATAATCACAGCTCATATCCGAAGAGAGAAATTCTCTATTGAATTGAAAACTAAGTCTTTGAAACTTATTTTGACAAAAAAATATAATACAAATCCAATCACAGATCTGTTGCCCCCAAAGAAATTGATTGATTGATTGAATTGTTGCCATTGATATTGTTGTCACACAAACCAAAAACCAATGCATTTGTTATTTGCCATTTAGTTCTCAGAGATCTGCGAAGAGCTGTTCCCGAGTCTGGACTCGATATTCCGCCACAACAGGCCCGGCATCGGTGTCTGCCTGTCGAAGGCCTGCCAGAAGTTCCCTCCGTCTCAACACGACTTTATTCACGTAATTATCCCTTATTTTATTACCACTTATTACACTTCTCGCGCCGATTGGGGGCCGCAGTGGTGGCCAACGGCTAACTTAGCCCTCACTCGTCGGGTTGTAATCTCTTCGGCAATTCTCTTCTAACAATACTATGTTTTGCATTCCTCTGGTGTGGGTTATAGGCGCTGATGAAGTCGTTCCACTGCTTCGAGCCAAAGGACCGTCAAATACAATTAGTGCCGCTAATGCTGTTCGGCGATCAGGAGCCGAGTAATGGCCGCACCGGTGGCCGCGAACAGCCGTACGGCGCGTACGGCAACAACAAAGTGGACATTTGGCTTCACGGGTCGCTGATGTTGCAGTACATCTTCGGCTTCGACGACCCCTACAAAGTGACCAAAAGTCTGTTGTCGTTGGAGCCTAAAGAGGTGGTCTCCATCGCCAACGACAAGAGCGGCTCACACGTGATCGAGACGTTCCTCCACAGCCAGACGGTGGCCCCCAAACACAAACAACAGCTCATCGAACACCTGCGCGGCTCGTATGTCGATATGGCCAACGATCGGTTCGGCAGTCGTATTGTGGACCACGTGTTGGCCACCGCCGACATTAAGCTCAAGAGTAGTATTATGGACGAGTTGGTGGCCAAAGAGTCCCATTTGAATAGCACCCGAAACGGGTACTATTTGGGCAAAAAGGCGGGACTCTATCACTACAAGAACCGCAACGACGAGTGGAGGGACGAGGAGAGGGGTCGGGCGAAGAGGCGCCGCGAAATGGACGACATCTTCGGCTACGACGGCGCCGATCAGTCGCTACAACAGCCGCCGCCTCCGCAGCGAATGCGCGGACAGCGGTTCAAGTGATGGCTCAACACTATTGACGATACGATACGAATCTATTCTTCTACTACTTCTTCATTATTATCTTCTCTTTGAATTTTTTGGCACTTTTTTATCGACGAAATAATTATTAAATATTATTATTATTATTAAGAGATATTTGTCGTTGAATATTGAAGTTTATTACAATTATTATTAACTATTATTATTATTAAAAGTATATTTAAATATATTATATATAAAGAATTTACTGATAATTTAAATTGAATTATAATTCAAAAAAATATTTAATTTTCATTTCAAAACAAATTGTTCACTACTTTTGTTGTAAGTTTTTGTCGCAAATTGTTGTTGTTTTTGATGACAAAACAAAAAATAATACAAATATAAGTTAATTGTAATAATAATTAAATGTAATAATAATATTAATACAGAAAGAGAGAGACAAATGTGTATTGTTTTTTTGGAGGCGAAATACAATGTAATTGTTGTTTAAATTATTGTAATTTTTTATTTAAATGTATCGAAAAAAACAATTTTTCTTAAATTATTATTTTTTAAATTAAAAGTCGTGTCATTTTTCTGTTAGTTTTGCTCAATATTTATATAATTAAATATATTCTCAATTATGTTTCAAATTTAATTATATTTTACATATAATCAGTGATTTGTCCGCTAATTATAATAATAATTATCATAACATTTATGTATTTGTATTGAAATTTATTTTTTGGTCTAAAAATGAGAGCTTTTTCATCAAATGGTTAACCGAAACGTGTTTTGACAATAGGTTTGTATTTAGATTTCAATTCATTTCAATAGTTAGTTATCATTTAAATTGTATTTATGTTTAAAATAATTGTATTTATGTTTTCATTTATATCAATATAATTCATACAAAGGACAGGTATTTTATATCATGTTTTCATTATAATAGCTAATCGTTTAAATTCTGATTCAATTCAAAAATCATAAATCAATTTCTCTTTACGTTAAAAATGGTGTTTAAATGGTGTCTTCGTTATATGGGAACCGCTCTATTGATTGGCGTTACGATTGTTGGGTGTCTGCAGTTGTTGTGGCCCTTTGTTATTGTTGTACCGACGGGTGTCGCCGCCGCCTGAGTTGAACCCTCCGCCACCGCCTCTGCCGAACCCACCGCCGCCTCTATAGCCCCGATACCCTCCGCCATAGTTTCGGTAACCATAACCGCCGCGACCTCTGCCGAAGATGCGTCGATAGCCCACAACACCGAACGTCTCTGAGTTTAGCTTTCGTTCGGCCTTCCAATCGATTCGCTGGACATTCCTGTGGGACACAAGACATCAAAATTAGTCATCAAATCAAACACACATCGCAAGAGCCGAGAGTCACAGCTCCGGGTGTTTTGGACACCAAACTACTGACCCTTTTTCGCGTTCGAGCGCTTCGCAGCTAATGGTGTCGAAGAAGGACTTCGCCTTATCGTAGAAGTGGTCGTCGTTGGGCTCCTTATCGCCGTTCGTCGAGCCGTCGGCCTTCCCCTCTGAGCCGGCCTTGTCTTCGTCGGGCGCCGGTCCGTCGGCCGACCCGTTGCCGTCCAGTTTAAGATTCGTCAGCTTCTTCTCCATCTCCGAGAACTCCTCGAAACCCTTCTCAAAGTCGAACTCTTTGTCAAACTTGAGCGGCTCTTTAGGCACACGATTCTGGCCACCCATTCGGTTCTGACCGCGCGATTGACCGCCACCGCCGCCTCTGCCCTGCATTTGCGGCCTACGCTGTCCGCCGCCGTAACTGTTGAACTGTTGCCTATTGTTGTCGTATCGCCTGTTGTCGTACTGTCTATTGTCGGCAAAACGATTGCTGGACTGATGGATGACATGCGGCAAATGGTTTTGGTTCTGATTCTGACGATAGTGTCCGCCTCCGCCCTGCGGTGGGCCACCAGATCCACGCCGATTCTGGGCGTACGCGTAGTTCTGTTGGAAAGCTTGCTGCGGATGATGCGGTTGGCCGCCGCCGCCGCCACCACCGCCTCCTCCACGCCGTTCGCCGCCATCTCTGCGGTATTGATCCCTTTGCTGCTGCCCTCCGGGGTGTCCACCACCGCCGCCGCCGCCACCACTTCCACCGCCGGTCAACTTATCGGCGTAAGAGTTCTTCACGCGTTGATTCTCTTTGTTTGCGGTTTGTTTATTGCCAACGGATTGGGCCGAAGCGGGCACTGAGTCGTGTTGCGGTGTACGCGGGCGAGGCTGACCACCGCCGCCGGTAGGGGTCGAGTTCTGAGAGCGCGAGTCGTTCGAGGCGTTGGACTTAAAGCCCAGTCCCAGCGAATTGATAGCGCTTTGGCCGGAGCTGAAGGCCGGCGCTGTCGGGCGGTGACCACTGTTGGCGCTAATATTGGCGCTGTTGGCCGACATCTGGGGGAACGTCGTCGACGGGAAGGTAGCGCCGCTGGACGTCGACGTCGAGTGCTGTGTCCGTACAGACAATACAAATGACAAACAATGAAATCACAAGAGTTTAAGGATTAGGGGAAAGACTTACGGCTTGAATAATCGCCGGATCGGCCAAACCGGGCGCTATAGTAGAGGGCGGGTCGTCGACAATCAGATCCTTGATATCGCCGGCCCTGAAGATGATATACTCGAAGATGTCGTCCCGGGGCGGCACCTGGCGTTCGGCCGGTCTGTCTTCAGTGCCATAAGAGCGCACTAATGGACACAACAAAGCAGACAATCATTACATTATGGCATC